TCGCAAGGAAGAGATAAGTCGTAAGTGACATGTAGAAAAAAGGATATATTTTATACTTGAATAAGTAAGTGTTATAGCTTATACAATCCCATGTAAATGGTAAATATCAATAAAACGATTGTTTTTTTTTTTGCTTTCACATTGTTATTTTCAATTCTCGATTGCGTTCGAGTGTGAAAAATTATAGCAACATAAAGTACAACGCCGCTCGAATTATCTCGAGCGTGCACAGTTTGGCCAGTTTAGCGCGCTCGAGTTAACTCGAGCGTGCACGTTAAAGGGTTAAAGGAGAATTTACTGTAGATCGGGCATGAGGCGCACGACGACGACGACAAAGCAAAGTCACGACGACGATCTCGAGCAGACGGAATCAGAGCGAAACGCGTACCGTCGCCTAGAATCATCATTTGCTGGCAGCCGACCGTTGGCGTTGCTCTTCGTCGATTTCAACGGCGTGGCGCGACGGCGCTAGAAACATAATTGACTGCGTCAGCAACAAGATAGAAACGTTCCTCAGTCGTTTGGAACGTTTTTTGTTCGAGCAGCCAACTTTTTCTAGACGATCACGGGAGAAAAGAAAGAGCCGACGAGGTGACTGGATCATCTTCGCTTTCGAGGAGAAACGTGTGCTCTATTACTTTGAGAAACAGTTCTTGCATGTTTTCTGGATTCTTATCCTTGTATATTTACCCATTTTCAGCGACTATTGCAAGCTCTGCTTGAATGCTTTGTAATAATGCGCAATCGAAACTGTACGAAAAAAACTTACGATTTATTTATAGTCGCGTCGGAAAGTATATTGATACTTTTTTTAAAATAATAATAACTTTTCTAAAACTGATCTGAACATTTTTGTATGATAACAGAACTAGCCTACTAGACGATCACTAAGATACTTTCTTTATTTCTTAATTTTATTTTTGCTTGGAACGGCCGAAAACAGCTCACGTTTTTAAATATTTTCTACCCGAGCCTATAACAAAAATGTAAAAAATGCGTTTTGTAAGTCTCGGTGACTTATGTGAAATACTGAAAATTGTATCGAAATCGGTTGACTTTATTACGAGTTACAAACAATTGAAACAATTGAAAAGTTTCATGAAACGGCAATGAAAAAGTGGAACTTTTTACACCACCATTCGGACGGAAAATCGATTACCCTCGTGCTAGGTCTTCGGAGCCGTGAAAATGAAACCTTGTCGAATATTTAAATAGGCGTCATATCAGACGAATAACGTAGTTATAATAGTGTTGGTTGGTTAGAAATTATAATTTTGTTATAAACTACTTGTCGTCGACTTTTTCGGAAATTTCAGCGAAGCACTAATTTTCTGAAACTCGTATTCAGTTTAATAAATTTCTTTCTAAAACATAGTCCTTGAAAATAATCGGACAACGAGTTCGACATTTGTTTTCAAGCCATTAATGTCAAGCTTGACGAATCGCGTCATTTCTCAGCGACTTTGATTGCGTTTAATGGCAGTCTCTCGCTTGGAAATTATCGTTGGATCATTTATCTATTGTCATTCCATTATCCTTCGATGAATACACCTGTTCTAGGTCCAAGCTGTAGGAAGTTAACAAATCGCTTGAAAAATACTGCTTATCGTGAAGACAGCAATACGTATATTATGTAACTGATTTTTCAAAAATTGCATGTGCTCCGTAGCTTTAGATTGCACCGATTAACACACTTTACGGATATCACACGACTACGATGCAATTAGTATAAATTACAAACTGGCTGCATCATTTATAATATTATTTATCACAAAAGTGTTCGCATACCTTTTGAAAGGCAATAACTATTTTAAAACTGGACGAACTGACGAATTTTTTTAGATGATAGAGGAATTAGTATACTAGACAATGACGAAAATGTCTTTTTTAAATTTTGCTATTATTTGGCATAACAAAAGAAAAAACGCTCGTTTTAACAAATTAAAGATAGCAAACAATCACAGTTTTGTCATGATTTTGGCCAAAAACTGTAAGAAGTCTGCAGTTTTCTTCAATCTTTCAACACCTGTAGTTCAACTCTCCGTTAACCGATTTCGATCAAATTTTTAGCCCGCATATAAGTCACCGAGATCTACGAAAGGCACTTTTTTAAATTTTCGTTACGGGTTCAGATGAAAAAGTTGAAAAACGAGGGTTTCTCATTTTTTCTTTTTATTCCAAATAATAGCAACATTTAGAAAAAACATTTAGGTCATTGCCTACTAGTCTCTCTATTATATAAAAAGACTTCAAGTTACTTAGAACCGTTTCAGAAAAGACATTGTGTTTTAAAAGGTGTACGAATATTTTTGTGGGGCCACTGTAAATGCCAGAAACTAAACAATGAAAGTGTCGGTATATTGTATATTCTAGGTCCAAGTTGACACGAGCACTCGCTATCCGAGTACCAAATACTACCATATCAAAATAAAATCGCATTAACTTCTAAAGTTATGATGAAATATGATAATGTAGAACCCAATACATTTTGAAAGATTAGCGCGTATCTACGTTTCCATATCGTGAAGCTTTATTTCTTCACGTTCTCGTATCCTTAATGTGATTTTAATGATACTATTGTTTGTTATCTAATAACAACAGATACAGCGAGGAACTTATTGGGTTGGCAACTAAGTAATTACCGATTTCAGTTATAGATGTCTCTCACTCCCATTTTTATGATATCCGTAAATGTTATATTATAAAATATAATAGCTACACCTAAGTAATTAACATTCAATCACTAACTCAATGTTTTGAAAGCATGGTTTGCTGAGATATATGTATATTCGGCATTATAACGATATAATAACTGCTACTAACATAATCCGGTTACGATTCAAGCGCTGATTAATAGACTAAATTAATTCAACAATGTGTATGCTTTTAAACTAAAATATGCGAAACATATGCAACGTACAATAATTGAAAATAGAAAAGATATTTTTGGAATCACCTGATCATGATATAAATTTCTGTCTACGCACCATTGGTCTACCTGTTTTCTAAAGGAGAACATGCATTTGCATAAACATCCGCGGTTTATTTATTGAGTTGACAAACTAAGTAATTGCCGATTTCAGCTATAGATGTCTATCACTCCCATTTTTATGATATCCGTAAATGTTATATTATAAAATTATTATTATTATTATTATGTTATTTTTTATTATCCGTGAACGTTAGCAAC